TCTCTTTCGTCTCTCTCTCTCGCTCTCCGACCCTCTCTCGCTTTCAGATACAGTTAACTACGACTTAAGGTTTGGGTTTGAAAAGTCCAGTAAGTAGCAGGTTGACTTTATAACGGATATAGAAGTTTAGGGATTAATACTTCTACAAGCGAGAATCTACGAGCCCCAGCAAAGTTTCGGGTTCAAAGGCTTCAGATTTCCATTTGGTGTCTTGAGTATTTGGGATCGATATTTTCAGAGTTCTTGGCCCCGGTATGTTTACATAGTCCTCGAGGAGGATGCTGCAGAGATGTTCGGGTGCAAGCTTTGAGGATATGTTTTCGCATCATGTTGCCAAAGCCATAGCTCACCCAGTAAGTACAGACATATATGCTGCGATATGCTCGTGATATATATATATATATATATATATATCACGAGCATATCGCAGCATATAAGTCGAGGTGTATGCAAGTACGCCAGTGTGTTACTCGTCGTGAAAATCAAGTAGTCGGGCAGGATCATGTGGTTCAATCACTGTTCTGGGGCTGTGTGTTTCGAAACCCTGTATAAACCTCAAAACCCTAAACCCAGCAGTCGATCAAGGTGATTCAAGGATGATTGATGAATGGTTTGGGTTTAGGTAGTATATTAACCCCAACTATTTAACGACTACGACTAGGACTACTGATACAACAACATCACACAACAACAACTACTACTACTACTACTACTACTACTGCTACTACTGCTACTAGTACTACCACTACTACTACGACTACGACTACTACTACTACTACTACTACTACTACTACTACTACTAGTACTACTACTACTACTATTATACTACTACTTAACTACTATACGACGACGACGGCGAGACCGACAATTTGGCAGTCTCAACAGCATGATGCTTGTGATCTGGGCTTCTATGAGAAATGGAAGAGGGAGATTTGCACGCTACGTTACATCAATTGGTCCACTATTTCTAATTCTACGATATTGCTCCTGCTTCGGCTACAGTTACTGCTGCAGCTGCTGCTGCTGCTTGCAACAACAACAACTATACTACTGCTGCTGCTGCTGCTACTACGACTACTATACTCCCCAATGACCCATATGTAAATACAAATGAGTATCCCGCTCAACCCAAATGCATAGGGCGATAAGCTTTAGATACGTATGTATGCTACGATCTGATCTTGAAATTTGAGATCAAGCTCAGCCTGGTGCGGCATCCAGAATGAGCATGCTGAGGCATGATCTGGCATGTGCGGCGGCGCAATCTGTGAAGAAATTGCCGAAAATCGACTGCTTGTTCTGTATCATTCGCACACTAGGTTTGGTCGCGATCATCGGGGCTTAAATGTGTCTTCTACAGATTGTGATTTTGAGGACCATATGCATGCCCCTTCGTGGCGGAGAAGCCGGTAGCTTTGAAGCTTAGGCTCGAGATTTAGTTCTTCTTTTGGTCCACTTTAGGGAAGCATAACTTTAAGGCGGAAGTAGTATGATTCTGCTTATTCTGAGAAACTGCTACTACTACTACTACTACTACTACTACTACTACTGCTACTACTAGTACTACTATGGTAGTATACTGCTCATAACACGCCTATCATGCTAATACTTGTCGGATCCATGCGGTATTGCGTGCGCCAACATTGAACCCCACATCCTGAACCACGAAACTCGTCATCCCGAATCCCGACACTTTGGTTGTAGACTAATCCTATAGGTCGTTAACTTGAAAGTGCGACCCAAAACAAAGCCTGGAATCTAAGCCGTATAAACATTAAACCGAACCCATTCTGCTTCTTTAGAAGTCGCTCGGCGAGGTGGAAGGACAGCGAGGAGTGCAAAGCCATTTTGGCCGGCCTCTCCGCGAATGAGATCAAAAGGCGTCGCTACTAGTGAGCTTTTGGCGCCGACTTGAGTGCATCAGGTATATGTGCTCGATCTGCGGGCTGCTATAGAAGCAGGGGTTTGCGTTGTCTTCAAACTCTCCCCTCAACCAGTTCATACCTGCAGTATGATCTCGATGTACGATGATATCGGCAACGCATGGGTGCTTCGATCCAGGGCCCGGAGGGCGCTTGCGCAACTTAGGATGCAAAGGTACAGCTCATTTGTGGAGACATGCGATTTCTCACGGGGGACCGCTTTCAGGTTCTGGAAAACACTTGCTAGCGAAATTGCATGCACATGATCCGACTGTGGCTTGCTGCTTGTTTAGTTTCTCGAAGCTTTTGTGATCAGTATACTTTCCGGAGCCACGGGGGTTGATTATGAAAGACAATTACCCTTACGAAACCCTGAGGCCTGTATATGAGACCTATCGGTGGATTGTTCCCTAGTCGTTATTGTTCGGGACGATTGCAGAGTGATCAGCCAACCATGTTGTTCACTCGCCTGCTGGTGGCTTTGGCCACACTCCATATGAGCGACTTGACGGCGATCATAATCATCATAATGCACATCCTCGGATTATGCAGGGATTGCAAAATCAGGTTTCGGGCCCCGCAGCAACGACCTTGATTTCCTCGAAGTGTTCGCAGGCTGGGCTCTGATCGAACGTGCAAGCGCTGTCTCGAGGTCTTAGATATATAGCAAGCCGGACCACACATAAAATCATATAAGCATCCCAAACCTCGAACCCCATCAATCAAACTTCAAACGACAGGTGAACATGTGCTCTTCTCTGCTGCCAAGCGGATTGGTCTTCGAGCACATGGAGTCGATGATCCTCCAGCTGCAATTTAACCTGAGAGCCGATGTTGAATCTATTGACGCAGAAATACATCCTCTGCAGCGGGTCTAAGGTAAACTATTCCAGGAAGCTTGACATTTTGTCAGCTTTCGGCTTCTTGTTTTGTTTGCACAGTGCTCCTTGGACGCATGCATGCCGTACATACCACTTCGAAGTAGTAGTCCGGAAAAGATCGAATTACCCATCAGCTATTGAGGCCAGGAGACTTCGTCCGAAAGCCGTGGCATGGTACGGGGTGCCCTGCAGCAGCTGGATATTTCTGAGCTTCAGATGCAGATTAAGGGTGGTTTTGGGCAGTTGTCGCACTTTGGGTTTAGGATTCGGTCTCAATCTTGCACAGGCCGGCAGTCTGCACCAGTTCTGTTTGTGTTCATGAGCAATCGATCAGCCTAGGAGCCGGGGAAGTTCCAAGCGCAGGAGACTGAATATCAAAGGCGACCCCGACAATACCCTAAACCCTGACCCCTATAACTCCTAATGGCTTACCAACTGTAAATCAGCACGCAGTGCACCCTAACAAGAATCTACATTTGTGGTTTCTCGCTCGGGCAGGCAAGAGAAGCTTGAAGAAGGTCCAGACAGCCAACCGGATCGCAAGGCGTGTTGCCTATCTGCTGCCAGGCTGCATACAAATCATTTTGGTCGGAATGCTCCTTTCGTTCGAGCTGTCCCAGGCTAGAGTACCACTTTAGATCTGGGAGCTACTACATCCTGGAGAACCCGACTGGCTCTATCTGTTATTTGAACTACCATGCATCAAAGTATCTCGGCTGGGTTAACCTGGCCAAGTGAACGCGAGTTTGACTGATCCAGTGCATGATTATACCGACCCGGGTTTGACGAGATAAGGCAAGGCTGCGGGCACACAAGGCTACCAGCATCAATCTTTGCTTGGGGGCCCTTGGTGCCCAAACCCGGAAATGTGTTGCTCGACGAGTAATCTACACGAGTTGCCTAGACTATACCCACAGATGGTCTTGCAGGTTCTTGAGGAATCTACTTATGCCGATGACTATGCTTCTGAGGTTACCTTATGGGGAACTGCTCCATTCCTCGGTGATCTTTACGAGCAGCTTACATCTGGGAGGAGGATCGCTAACAGCAGTTGCAATGTGGGAGTACATGTGCGTTTGCCGGTCGACAATTAACTCTTGGACGGGTGTGGGTAGGTGCTTAAGGGTCTAAGTCTGGCATTCTTTATCAACAAAACGACTTATAGAATCCTGAGACTGATTTAGATTGGGATCTGTACTCCTAAAAAATCATTTCCCGACCCCAGACTCTAAAACCACAAAGGCCTGATATACTTCTACACCGTCAAACCCTAAAGACCTCGAAGATAAGAATGGTTCTGGGCTTTTGAATCAATAGACAGAATGGGCGACACACCAAAGATCCGAACTACTAATGGACTACGTATGGACAGGGCGACACCCACTTCTAGAAGGAATGCCCCCCCCCCCCCCAATGCCAGCTCTATGTTTCCTATTGGGTGCATGGGGTCCCGCCAGGAACCAATTGAAACGCATCCAGTCCTTCTTGAAATTGGACGTCAGTCGCGGCTACACAGATTCTGAAGGTCGAGCCAAGCGAGCACCTTAGCTGCACTAGTGTTCGAAAGCCGCTCATGTGGTTATGATGGCTGCGCCAGAGGTTGGTGGAAAGGATCTTACATCCACAGGTGTCTATCCGGGGACAATGGCACTGAAAGCCTCTTGCCGATACTGGTCGTAGACAACACGTGTCCAGTTAACAAAACATAGATACGTATTGCTGATGCCAATTGAGGTTGCTGATGTTCTACAGAAACACTTAGCGAATGCACCGGCTGTCCATACTTTTGATGAAATGGAGATGGAGCTATTCGATACAGAGGGCGACGATGATTCTGATTCCGGCCTCGAGAATCTCATTGGTGCGCCTGTCATCCAGTCGTAGCCACAGCAGTGCTTCAGTTTTGACCTGCCGGGCAGCTTGAATATAAGGGGTCAGCTGCTCAGGAGATCGGAAATTTTGTTCGAGTGCTAGGAAGATGCCCCTGCCAACCAGTTCAAGAAAAGGCCGAGTTTGCCGTTGCAAAACCGCTAGCGTGTATCAGCGTGTATCGGCGTGTATCCGGCTTCTTAAGAAGCCGGTTAGCGTGTATCAGCGTGTATCGGCTTCTCCAATATTTGCACTTCTGCACGCACGCAGCCGATCGAGTGGCAGCGGCCCCTCAACCCTAGATCTGTGCGCATACCTCGTGACTGCCATGGGTAAGGGGTCAGCAAAAGGCAAATCAAAACCAGCCGGTGCCCCGAGCGGCCCAGACAACGGCCCGGCTGAGGTTGACTTGTCGGTTGAAACCGCACCCCGCACTTATGTCTACATGGGCAAAGTGCCTGCAGACAGCTCGGCCAGCGCAAAGGGGTTGAAGGGGAAGAAGGGTTCACCTGCAGCCACTGGTAAAGGCGGCGGAATGAAAGGGCCGAAAGGCAAAGGGGTGGCAAAGGGTAAGGATGGGCACGATCCTGCGAAGGGAGGGGCTGCAACCAAGGGGAACGACCCTAAAGGGGGCAAGGCCAAAGGTAAGAGCAAAGGTGGGAAGCCCAGCGGCGAGCCATCCGAGTGTCACACACCCACCCCAAAGCAGCTGGATCCCGATGGTTTGAACACAGGCACTCCACCGACCAAGCCGCCCACGAATCTGCCTACCAGTGATACCAAGCTCAAGGGTGAGGCCAAGGGTACTGGTGCCAGTCAGACTGGCAAAGGTGCCGTTGATCAAAGTGGTAAAGGCAAAGGTTGGAATGGTTGCAAAGGAAAGACCGGGGCTCATGATCAAGCCATGTGCGAGAAGGATGCTGTTGCTCAGACGGGCAAAGACAGCCAGGGAGGCAAAGGAAAGGCGAATGCTTCTGCCGACATGGGCAAATCGCCTGCAATCAGCCCGGCCCCAAGCACCAGCAGTGCAAAGGGATCGAAGGGAAAGAAGGGGTCACCTGCAGGAGCCACTGGCAAAGGCGGCGGAATGAAAGGGCCAACCGGCAAAGGAGTGGCAAAGGGTAAGGATGGGCAGGATCCTGCGAAGGGAGGGGCTGCAACCAAGGGGAACGACCCTAAAGGGGGCAAGGCCAAAGGTAAGAGCAAAGGTGGGAAGCCCAGCGGCGAGCCATCCGAGTGTCACACACCCACCCCAAAGCAGCTCGATCCCGATGGTTTGAACACAGGCACTCCGCCACCGACGCCACCCACGAATCTGCCTACCATTGACACCAAGCTCAAGGGTGAGGCCAAGGGTACTGGTGCCAGGCAGACTGGCAAAGGTGCCGTTGATCAAAGTGGTAAAGGCAAAGGTGGGAATGGTGGCAAAGGAAAGACAGGCAACGCTGCTGGGCAGACCAAAGGCACTCAGGGTGGCAAAGGAAAGAAGGGGGTGGCTGGCAAAGGCGGGGTCGATGGCAATGTGATCGATCACACTGGGCAGAAAAGGCCTTTGGAAGCAGAGCCTATCGACCGTGGTGTGCGCCGCCGTGTGTCTTTCGGTGGAGGACGGGCGGGCTAGTGTATCAAGGGCTGTTAATGTTCATTGTTTCGTGGAGTTCATTTGTAATGCACGTCACGTACAGCGATGCGATGTGGAGTATGTGCATGTGTACGTGTATGTGTGTGCCACAAAACTGCCCAGTCTCCGAAGCATCAACGACGAGATCCCCATCTACTGCTGAGACCCCCTCTAAGTGACTTGTATGGAATTGATACACTACCAAACCTTCGAAACCCTATACACAAACCGAGGTCTATCCTCCGTCTCGATACCAACATCTCGGAGCTTAGTGATGGAACTGGGCCTGTGGATATGGAGCCGCTGAGCAAGCCCACCGAGCCCCAACATGTCCCAGATGTCGTGACTCCGTTGCACCAAAGATACAGATTATAAATCCTGCGAGCCATATGTTGAACTAAACCTTCATGATCACCCCAAACCACAAATCTAGTTAATGAGCAGCCAAGGCGAGGCCGCTCACCGAAAGTGAGAAGAAGCAAATCGAGGCGTGGACCCCATGCTTTGCTAATGAGCAATCCCGAAGCTATCTGCGCACAATCAACACTAAACGAAAGTAGCATCTAGCCCCAAACCTCAAATGCTACTCCATCCCCTAAATGCATCTTTCGTCTAGGCCTTATCTGGTCCGGGCGACATTCCGCTACAGCAGCGAAAAGCACTCAACGAGAAGCTGAGACGTCGGATGACGAATGGTACAGGCGGACCGACAACACCTTTAGATTACTTATAAACCCCAAAGCCCTATAAGCCCCCCAACCCGGAAACCCTTATTCCCCATATCGCAATATTGAGGCTTACGCAAAGGACTTGTCGCCCAATGGGCTGCCACGCCTCCAGGATCGCAGGCCCGGCAACTCTCCAGCAATTTATTGATCTTCATGGGAAATCGAAGGCACCTGCGCTAAAAATAACTATCTGTTTCAACGGCTTGAGGTTCGAGTTTCTCCGGGCTTTCTTGCTGGACAAGGACAACCTCGCCTCGATTAAAGTCGAGCCTTACTATGAGGAGCACCTCGGCTTTTTGATGCGGCTTATTGGCTTGTATATTGATCAGATCTGCCTTGCAATGCTTTTCATTCGAGGCTTTCAGAAAGCAAAGAAAAGGAGAAGTTTATCGAGCTCCCACTATGCATCATCCGTCAGAGGTACGAAGGTTTGCCAGGCGGGAAGGAGTTTGTGGAAAACCTGCAGAAGAGTAACTTGGCTTAAAAGAAAATTACAGGAAGGTTCTTCCTATACATACCTTTTCATATAATCAGAACCTAATTAATAAGTTAGCTACTCCCACACCCAAACAAATCCGTATCCTAGGCCAGATTGGGAAGAAGCACCCACAGTCGGATTTAGCAGAAATGCGGATCTACAAGCTGTTCGAAAGCGTGGAGTCTTCCAGTGCCTAGGCTTCCAATTGTTGCGAGCTCTGATGTAGGTACGTACTGGGCTTGTCGAATACCGTGTGCACTTCTATAAGGTGCCAGCATCAACCGCTGTGGCAATCGCACGAGCGCAGCTATGACTCCATCCAGCAACAGGGCGGAGAGAAAGGCCATAGCTGAAGCTTTGGAGGGTAAGGTTGCAGGCATGAACAAGATCGCCACAACGCAAGCACCCAAAGGGAGCGGCAAGGGCAAAGGGAAGAAGAAGACGAAGGACCGATTCTTTGGCACAGCACTTCTATGGCCGGACGCTAGATGATCCACAAACAGTTGTACAGTCTTGATTTAGCCTTGTATACACCCCTCCCTCCCCCCGAAACATCCTACACAAACCCTCGCCCCTTAATCCGAATTTGTCAGGAGCTCACACAGGAAGAATTGGACGCCAAAAATTTCCAAAAGGATTTGCAAGCGCACATGGCTTAGCTACCGCACAGAAAGCATACGTGTTGCTTAACTCAAAACCATGTTGTAGGCTCCCACCGTTAGCCCAGGGTCCGGGACCTTGCTGACAAAGCCGTGGCCGTTGCGGCCGGCCTGAAGACGTGTGGATTGGTGAATCAAGAAAGCCAGATCGCGAGATTAGGCGAGATTACCAACGAGTGCGCGAGGATCCGCGACGAGACTTTCGGCTGAAGTCTAAATGTACGCACTATCGGCTCCCCCTATAAGTCCGAAGCCCTAAACCCAAACCTTAAACCCTAAACCTCACACCCCCTCCTAAATTCTCAGTGGGATAATAATCGTTGGCTACATAGCTCAGGGTGCAGCAGATGCTGTTCAATTCGAAGCCACTCCACGAATGTATCGAGACTATGGAGATGCACAAGTCCGCGACGCTCAAGGTGCTCATTGGGAATGTTCGCGATGGTTCTATATAGTATTCGGTCGCCCCTGTGCCAGGAGTACCAATCTGAGGTTAATGATGCCGAGGGAATCTGGCAGGGGCAGGAACGACGCTACTTGGCCCAATCCCGCAAACTCTGAACCCTAAACGCAATACCTAAACCGTATCCTCAATGTTCTGCAATTGTGCTGGCTCACAAGTTAAGGTAAAGCTGCACAGAAGAGAAAGATTGAGAAAGCAGAGAAGAAGAAAGCGAAGGAAGCTCGAAAGGATGCAGGCCAGGAGGCCGACGAGGAAGAAGAAGCTGAGGAAGAGGAGAATTGGGAAGATGGGGAGGAAGGGGAGCAGGAGGAGCAGGAGGAGACTTGGGACCAGTAGGGGGCTACCGCGAAGTGCACCTGTGCCTAAGGCACTACTTGTATGCGATGCTCGATCTCATCGAAGTATTCTAGTTCTTGAGTGTTTCAGGGGCAGGGGTGGCTTGTCTCGCAGGCAGTGCAGATACGAACACACGTCCTATATAGCTGCTTCGGAATTTACGTCGTACGCACGCAAGATTCTGCCGATTGCGCTGCATGCGATCTTAAGCCAATGGGTTTGGATCCTAAGCATAAGAGCTGCTTGGGTTGGGGTCAGGAGCGTGCTCGTCCGATCCGAGGCGAAAAATGTATTCGTCACCTCATATCCCGGCCAGCCTGCTCTTGAAAGCCCGCATGATCCAAAGATCCAGTCGTTGCATTGGTCTGCCTGAGCTTTGCTTTTCTCTTTGTGGCGGTGAGCTTTTACAGCACGTTACCTATAACAGTGTCCAGACCACCCAACTATCGATACCTATGAAACCATCCGAGTTTCTCCAAATCGTATGCGCTGTAGCCTTCCTGATGATGTATATTGCAGTAGAGGTCGATAGAATGACCCATTGCAGTGGTTCTTAGCATTCATTAAGTATGGTAATTGTTCTCTTAACCAAGCCAGGCCCATTTGCTGAAACCTATACAATACCTGGACCCTTAACCCTAATGGCCCTAGATCCCAGACTTACTAGCCACGGCTAGCTCAAACCTTACCTTTGAAACCCTTATCACTTCCAGATGCTGTAACACCCTCAACAACCCCGGGAACACGAATTTTCACACCGTGAACCATTTCAGGCCCTATACTATATCCAGCCTACCAAACCCCAGCCTCGTGATATTGGGTAAGCCCAACGTCATTGGCGAAGATTTCTGAAAGATGTCCTCAATGCCCTGAAGACTAAATACGCCCTCCATGGGTGATTTGGCCATGCAATGGCTGACTGGGCAGAGAAGTACGTCCAGGATACATGTGCCGATATCCTGCGTCTACTTGCTAATGGAAAGGCGGGACCCAAAACTTTATTAGGGTTCGTTTGTACAGTAACGCGAAACTACGGCATCAATCGGAGGCCCCGTTGGTCGAGCTGGACAAGTCGCTCGCTCGTCTTCGAGAACTTCCTGAGTCTGTGGTTCCGCACTCCGGTACCGCATTTCCAGTAAAGCGCGATGCCAACTCATGCATGCTTGATGTATAAATGCATATCATCCGAGGAAAGACTTATTACAGTTGGCCCATGCCTTCGCAAATGCGAACTGCTGGGGCCAGATGCGTGTGCTTATACGGTGGTGTGATCGCCAACCGTGGCGCAAAAGCATGCCCCAGCCCTTTGCGAATCCTAGCCGCATTACCCCGGTGTTGGCCGAGCTGCATCACACCTTTATATACGTACGGGCCATGCACTTAAGGATCCAGATGAAAGCAGTGCGCCCCTCAATGCCCCGATTGCGTGCCGCACCATCGATTGCAACAGCGGCACATCCCTATGCAGGAGTACCAAGATGCTCATGGCAAGCGAGTACGATGGGTGGATCACCATATGTTATTGCCGCATGAAATGATCGGGAGCCTCTACGAAACGAACAAGCTGGGATTGGTGTCTGGGGAAGCTGCTTGCTTATCTCAGTGCATGTGTGTCTTAACAGTTTGTGCACAACTGTTCACCTCTCGACCGGTTGAAGATTACATATTGTACAGAAGTTCTAGGCACATATGCATGTACACATGGCACCGATATACGCACATGATACGGGCTCTGCTAGGTTAACTTCTTGCATGCCAGTTTATGTGTTTGCACAAATACGAATCAGGCATATTCCAGCCTGCATGTTTCTATGCATATTTCTGACTATAGAAGACTAAGTATGAGTCGTAGGAATGTCGACTCTGTATATGCATGCATGTATATGTATAGACATGCGAACAAACTGCAGAAACACATATGTTCTGAATTTGATGTTCGGGAGCTCGGGTGCTTAGTTCCGATTTGTCCAAGGAGCCTGATCGTCTCCAGTATTGGGAGGAGCTCTCCGATACTGCGTGGTTCCAGAACCATCCGATTCTCCAGGCCTTTGCTAGCATGCTTGCATACTTTAGCTTGGTTTAGGCTTCAAGGTTTAGGCTAGTTTAAGGTATGCCGATACAAGCTTGAATCACTATCCGAGGCAAACGACCTTCGGAACTGTATTCCATTGCGTTTGTATGGCGACGGGGCCGAGTCGACTAGCCACTTAGCAAGAATAGTCTTTGTGCAGTGGTTTCGGCATTGCTTCGGGAACCTATAGCTACCTGCTGCGATCTTGGTCAGGGCATCAACACTTCGAATGCTTTGCACTCCTGGCTCCGCTGGGGGCATCGACTACACTGGGGTCTCGATTCTTGTGCTTTGGTCGACAACGATATTCTTGGATTCGTAGATGTAATATAAACTTGACCACGCATGCAGCCAGTTCTTTGTGCGATCGACTACATACTTGTCCCGACTCGAGGATCAGCTGCATGAATATGTCTTACCACAATTCCAACCAGCGCCACTCAATTCTCGAAACTTTGAAATGGTCCTTCAATTGCCTCGGCCTCTCACCCGCAACAAATTATGGGGATTCACATTTCTTTGTTATAAGCTTTATGAGATTTTGGTTGGCTTCTCAGATCTTAGGCACTGGTGTGTATCCGGCTGCGGACCCGTTCGGCACAGAATTCTCCAATTCCTATATGCCTGAGAGACATAAACTTGCTGGCAAGCGGATCGCGGGGGACTTCGTGGGTGTCTTCGACGGGTTGCAGGCGGATTTGGAGTTCGTCAAGAAAGTGTTCAGTCTCCAGCGTTCTTTCGAAGCATACAGATTAGCCACTTTGTTCTACCCATTGATCAAACTAAAGTAGATATGTAAATATAAATAAATGCATATATATATACACATTTTGTTCTTATATTTGTTGCCCCGAAACTCGGCTATACCACAGCTATATTATATAGCAGCTATATATATGTCAACGCCCAGACACCATCTGATTTGGCCAAGCCACGTCGCTCAGGCGACTACTCCCGCAAGATGGTATGCTTTTATTGCTCTGATCCTTGGGCTGCATCATAATCATTTCTGAAACCTCTCTGAAATATCAGATTGCTCAAACTCTTGATCATGTAGAGGCCCTACAATGGACGTACCTTTACGGTGATCCGGATGCTCCTAATGATGAGGAGTTGTTATACACAAATTTCGGCAGGCGTGCACGGCACAGGGAAACGCTTCATGGCTCTAGATGGGGCTGCCTTTAGTTTGGCTGAAACCACAATCCCAAAACTAACTCCCAAGGCTCGTTTCCGATGCTGCGGAATTCATCCAGATCCACGGTGCGACGCCCATCACGGGCATCATCGGATTTAGTCCGTGGCGCAAACTAGCTGCACCTTTAAGGTTTTATTATGGATAGGTCAGTATTTCCTGCATTGTGATACCAAGGCATCCTGCCGGACTTGATGCACTTATCTCACTTAGCCCTTATCCCGGACATCGCGGTCTCTCTTCTACTCGATCTTTCGGATGGTGCCCGTCGGGATGAACGACTCAATGAGCTGTTTGAAGAGTATCGTTCGTGGTGCGAAGCCCAACGAACCCCAGAAACAAATTAGCGGAATGATGGTTTCCCAACCCATTAATCGCGATTCTCGTATTCTGAGTTGCAACCGAGGAGTGCCAGATCGTGCCCGGCGTCGACTATTTAGTTCGGGGGCTTTAAAACCCAATGCCAAGGAATACAGAAGTATTTCCCAAAAGATCTTGAATGCTTCTGCATCCCGGTACCTGCTCATGTGGATGGCTGCCTATATGCGGGCCCTTTTGCAGACAGACCCCGAAAGCGAATACCTGCGGCAACTTGGACTGCACATCGAATGCGCTGATCTGTATGTTTGTGCATGCGATCGAGAGAGATCGATCCGAGAGAGAGCGAGAGAGAGGGAGTGAGCACGAGAGCCCATAAGCCTAAATCCGAATAGCCTAACTCCTAATGATAGGCGATGGGTTATAATCCGGAATCGACTATAGTAGCCC